CAACTCAGCAGGGTGGGGATGTGCTTAGGAGTGCTCTGTGGGTTTTCCCAAGGACAAGGGTCACGCCCCCTTCCTTAGGACAGGCCTTGAGGTAGAAGCTGCTGTTACGTATTTATTTTTAAAAATGGAGTCACATCGGTTTCTCACACTCTTTTCTGTTTGTTTGTTTTTTTAAATATTCCTCTGCATTTTCATCACCCGATTAAGAAATAAAATCAGACACTGTTTTATTGGCATATTATAATTGTACATAACAGTAGGTTTCATAGGTGTTTATTTGTATGTGCGTATGATAAAAATTGGTCTATTTCATTCCTCGGGATAAGGCTACCTGCTGGTGGAAGGCAATTTGCAAACGGACAAGGTCAAGGTCCTCTGTTATGGAACTGTACAGGACAGTTCTACTGCCCTAGCACTCCGCCCTGCTCCATTTATTTATTTTTTTCTTTTTTCCAATCCATGCATTCAATGCTAGGTTGAAATTTCCCTCTAAGTTGTACTTTCATGTATTTTGGTAGTTGTTTTTTTTTTTTTTTCGCCATTTTCGTTTTCTTCAAAATATTCTTAAACCTCTCTTGAGACTTCTTGGCCGCATGCATCATTTAGAAATGTGCTATTGAATTTTGGAGTTTTCTGGCTCTCTTTCTTTTATTCAGTTCTCCTTCCATTTCATTGCAGTAAAAAGAAATTTTCTTTCAACTTCGTTAAGGTTTGTTTCTGGCCCAGAATGCAGTCTTTGTGGTCTACCTTGGTCAATGTTCTACGTGGGCTTAAGAAGGATGTGGTCGGGTTTTTTTTTTTTTTTTTTAGTTGTAGTCGGACATAATACGTTTATTTTATTTATTTAATTTTATGCGGTGCTGAGGATCGAACCCAGGGCCTCCCACGTCCTAGGCGAGTGCTCTGCCACTGAGCCCCAGCCCCGGCCCAAGAATGTATGTTTCGGTTTTTGGCTGGAGTGTTCTATAGATGCCAAGTGGCCATGTTCTCAGCCACCCTTCTTAACCAGCTAGACAGTTACCTGGACCCACGGAGGGGTCGGTCCTGTGTGCGAAGCTTGCCTTGCTTGCCGGTTTCGGGGTGCGTTGATCATGGCAACTGTAGCTTCTAATAAAATGCAGACTTTTGCCAATTATCTAGAAGCAGATCCAACTTGAGCGTCCAAGGAAACTGTCCTTAGAAGACCAACTCCCAATTCTTTGGAAGATGTCAGAAGAGTGCCCCCCCCACCGCCACCGCATAGAGCAGGCTGCCAGCCAGATGGGAAAGTGGTGAACTATTGAGGAAATAACTAGAGAAATTCAAGGATGCCCAGGGGTGCCCTTGTTGTCCTTTGCTGGTGGCCCTGTGATCACTTCCTTTAAAGAAACAGAAACAGGAAACCCTGATGATTGTTTCTTGTGTCACTTGAGAAAGCTTTGGCAATAGCTGTGGCCAGAGGCCTGTCCTCTGGGCGGGACAGTCTTGGTTTTGGTTGCATGACTGAGGCCCATCATGCTAGGGAATCCTGACCCTCTGAGGTCCCACCCACGTAAGAGAAGGACAAGAGGTGAGTGATTTGCTGGAGGTCATGCAGCAAATGTGGACCCAACCCAAGCAAATTGCACCTCTTAGGTGACTTCCTGTTTCCATGGCCCTCCTAGGATCGTCTCACCCAGTGCACATCGGGTTGGGCTGAGGGGGCCACCTTGGAGGGTTGCAGGAGGGGAGTGTTCAATCTACGTGGCCATCGCCCAGCCAGGGCAGGGGCTGCGCTGCTTTCAACAAGATCCACAAGCCCCGGGGCCCCTTTCCTCGGCTTGACCTTTGAACCCCCATGGGAGACCTGGACCTCCAGATCTCAGCAGCTTGTCCTGGCCTCTGGCTCCTGCCCAGAACAGACACCGTCTCTGCAGCTTCTGCTCCCATCTGTGCAGAGACCTTGGGATCTGCTCTCCGCCTCGCTCCTCCCCCATGTCAGTGCACCACCAAAGCCAGCCCCGGCGCTCAGAACTGGCTGACTGAATGGCTTTGTCAAGCCCCCACTTGTGGCAGGGACTCTTCACAGACGACTCCATGGATGTCCCTTAGTAACTCTCTGAAGGTTCTACTCATGAGCCCATATTCCAGATGAGAAAACTGAGACTCAGAGAGGTAAAGTGACCGGGCCACAAGTGCACAGCTAGACTGTGACCAGCGGGATTTGAATGCTGGCCTGGATGAATTAAAAGGCGGGTGTGTCCTGGGTGCTTTCTGTCTACCAGGCAAACTCTCCCCATGCGTATTCTCCTTGGCCTGTTGGGAAAGGAGAGAAGCCGTTTTCGGGATGGGAATTATTTTTTTTACAACTACCCCTGTGACTGACTGGCGGTGGCTGCCTGGGAGGCCGTGTTGGGAAGGAGTCAGGAAAGCAGCCCTATTGATTATTGACTTCTGCTGCCACCAGCAAGGGAAGGGTCCCTGGGGGCCCCACCTGCGGGCACCTTTGTCCCTCTGGTGGCAGCTAGCTGAACTGCAGGAGAAATTTGAAGGCAACTTTGAAGGCAGCCATTTTCAGAATCATCAGGGAGGTGGGAGTCACAGACATGAGCCTGAAAATACAATCCTATACCCCGGCTTTGGGGTTTAGTGGGATCTGGGTACAGGGAGGGCAAGGGTGCTTTGAAAATAAATCCCCCAGGTGATTCCAATGTGCTCTCCAGCATGATATAAGAAAAGGAAATGATCTTGAACTTGGCCTGGGAGCTATGTTTCTGGGGCGGGGAATGGGCACCCCCTTCTGGGAAGTGACTGGCTTTCCTGGGGTCGAGGCAGGAGGGAGGGGGTGAGGACATGCCTCGCTGTTGGGCAGGCACCTGAGAAAGGTGGGGGTCGGCCAGGATACCTTGAGCCCACCTGCTCGTGCCCAGGATGACCCCACATGGGCAGGACCACATCTGCCTGCTGCACCCCGGTACCCAGGCACCCCGCCTTCCACACTGTGTGTGCACATAGTCCCAGCCTCCATGGGAAGGCAGAACTGCTAGATGCCACAAAGGACAATCGAGGACAGCAGTTTTCCTGGACATTCCTACTTTATTTTTGGCTACAGCATCACAAAGAAAGGCGTGGGCGGTCGAGCATGCACCGGAACACGGGTGTGTATCGAGGCGGGAGGTGGTTACAGCTGTCCGGAGACAGGTGCGCCCGAAGGGGCCACCGGGAGCTTGCCACGTGCTGATTCTAGCCCCAACACCAGCATCAGGCTTGGGTGACAGCCAGCATGCTTTCTCCTGGGGCGAACCGTGGAAGGGAGGTGGCTGGGAGCCACGGGGCCTCACAGGGCAGGTCAAGGTCAGGGGGGAAAGGCTGCCCGGAAGCTGTTGGCCACCTGGGGAAGGTGGAGAGCTTGGTATTTAGAAAGTGGTTATTCAAAGGCAAGAAGTGGGTCCTCCAGCGAGCAGTCAGGGAGCCGGGGCTGGAGGCCTCCACGGGGAAGGTTAAAAGGTGTGGATTTGGGACGAGTTGGTCTGATGGCGTCTGTGGGGTGCTGGGCATTGCATGATCTTTATGGAGAAAGACTTAATTGAAATTGGAAAAACCAGACCTTCCCCATGGGGCGCTGAAGACTGCCAGATCCCAACCTGAAATGTACCTTTGCCTCCATTCACAGAGGAGACAAAGGCCTTTGGCCTCGGGGCCTGTCCTTCTTCTTCAGCTTGATATTTTTGTACCAGGGATAGAGCCCAGGGGCCATTTACCACTGAGCCACGTCCCCAGCCCTTTCTATTTTTGAGACAGGGTCTTGCTAAGTTGCTTAGGGCCTCACTAAGTTGCTGAGGCTGGTCTTGAACTCAGGATCCTCCTGCCTCGGCCTCCCGAGCTGCTGGGATAACAGGCGTGTGCCACTGCACCTGGCCAACCCTCTTTGAAGTGTTCTATCCATGGTGCTGTTTGATTCCCCCAGGAAACTTGAAAAAAGGAGTCCAAGAGATGGAAGAGAGATGGAAGGCTCCAGGCGGCTCTGGGTGAGAGTCAAGGCAACAGTCTGTGTGTGTGTGTGTGTGGGGGGCTGTTTGCTCATTCAACAAAGCACAGAGGAAGGAGGAAGGAGGGGCTGGGGGAGGTCCCCTTGGACCCAGAGCCCTGGTCTTCCAAGTGTCTCCCGTGCCCAGTCGGGGAGGCCAGACATCTGCACAGTCAAGGGAGGTTGCCCTGCCCCTGGGCTGTGCCAGCAGCAGTCCCAAGGCCTGAGGACATCTGGACAAGCCAGCAGGAGTGGCCCCTGGGGACCTTGAGGGGTCACCCAGCTCCTAGAGCTGGCTGGTCAGGCTGGTGGGAGGCCAGGGCGCGAGGCTGGGTTAAGATACATGGTTTAGTTTTTTGCTATATTATCCTTGGGGGCAGGGAGAAGGGGAGGGCAGGGGAGGCCGGGGGGACTTGAGGCAGGGAGAAGGCTACAGACAGGGAGTCTTATTTTTTGCTGAGGAGCAGGTCAATGAATTCCTGCCAGGGCTGCCCCGTCCCTCCCTCGGATGCTTCTGGCCTGTTGTGTACCCATCTCCAGGCACCGGGTGTCCTCTGGCCATCGCGGGGGTGTGGAGGAGCCATGGGGATGCTGCCTGCTCTGCCTCCACCCCATGCTGCCCTCACACACAGACGGGACCCAGGCAAGGGACCTCATGTGCACGTGTTCAAGGCCAGGAGGGTCCACAGACAGTTCCAGACACAGGTGAACCTTTGTGGTCTACCTACTCGGGGAGGCTGTGAAGTGAACCACCTCTCTGTAAACACCTCCCCATCCCCAGCCCTGCCACTTCATCCTTGGGACCAGAGAGGGGCTGCGTTCAGAGCCCACAGCCCAGCACTGGGTGGGGGGCAGAAGTCTTTGGCAGCAATGCCCAAGGTGAGGGGGTCCTAGAAGGCAGGGTCGGGGAGGGCAGGGGGAGGAGGAGGTAGGCACAGAGAAGAGAGACTGGGTGCCGGGGATGGCTGGAGGGGGACCCAGGAGAGGGGCGGGACGGGGAGGTGGGGCCAGGACCCTAATCGCTGGACACGTGGTTCTCGTTCTGAAGCTGGTGCCAGCGCTCGATCTTCTTGTCTTTGTTTTTCAGACACTCGTACCAGTGTTTCAGACGCTCTCCCTTGGCTGAGATCCCCAGCTGGCAGCCTCCTGGAGGTCAGGGAGGGCCGAGGGGGACAGGTGGTCAGGAAGCCCGAGTGTGAAGTTAGGGGGAAAACTGCCACCAAGCGGTGCCAATGGCCCCCACCCGCATCGAGCAGCCCGGAATCCATTCTCCGTGGATTTCTGTGGATATGACGTGGTCACCATCCTCGTCACTATTACCCTTGACTCTCTGTGCCTCAAGAGCCTGCAATGGCTCCCTACTACTGCCCCGCTCCTGGCTGTCTTGCCTGTTTCTCTCTTCTGAAGACTTTCTACAGATTGTCACCCTGTGCTCAGACGGTGCCCTTTGCCTGGACGTCCCTCCTTGCTCTGTCTTTAATGACTTCTCTTCCTTGTCTTTTAGAAACCCTCACCTGGACAGGCAAGCAGACTGAGGGGGGTTCCGGGGCACCTGCTTTCTGCTGTGGGTTAATTAACCCTCTTCGCCTTGCAAGTCCCCAAGCTCTAAGGGCCCTTTCCTCTGGAGGCCATCCCAGATGGTGCCAGGGTCAGCATCCTGGGCCCCAGAGACCAGGCGGGAGCTCAGCCCCTGCAGCCCTGGGCGGGGCTCCCTGTTCTGGGAGGAGGGACGTGGGGTTTCCTCGGGAGTCGGGAGCACTCACCGATGTAGTCGTTGGACTTCCCGATGTCGTAGTCCCAGACAGAGATGTCCAGCGACTTCTTGGCCAGGTCACTGTGTTTAATGTCGTAGAAAAACTCCTGAGGACAGCAGAGGAAGATGAGAGAGGTCCCGAGCCTGCAGCAGCGAAGGGGCTGAGCTCCAAGGTTCATGGGCAGCCCTCGGGCTGGGCCGCCTGGGGCCAGGATTCCTCCCACTCTGATCCTCCCAGTAATCCCCCTTTTACCAACTCTCTGTACAACAAAGCCCTGTGATCCTCTTTCTAGTGAATTCTTGGTTCAAAATGGGAGCCTGCTGGGTTTCCTGGGCCTGCTCGGGTTTCCCCAGAAGGCAGATGACCAGGAACTCAGGTGTCCCTGCTGGTAGCTTTAGGAGGGGGGTCTTCCCCCTTCTTAGGGAGTAAGGCCGTTGGGGTGGACCTAGTGGTAGGTGTTTCTAAATAATCCCATTAAAAAATGACTCTTCTAACTAATTATAAAACTCATTCTTGTTCATTGTTAAAACATAATGGAGAAAAATAAATCCCCTGTAATCCAGCTGTCCAAGAATAACCTAGGTCACGATTTGCCCAAGCTGCTCCACATTTTAAAAAAATGACCTGATATGGAGTACACAGTGTTGTAGCATCTTTTTTGCGCTTTATGACCTACGGTAAAATCCAGCTTAGCGTGTTTGCAAATATCTTAAAAATATATTTCTACATCACCGTTTTTTTTTTAATTCCCCCTTTTTCCCCTTTGAGTGTAAAAGAGTGGGATTTGTTCAAATGAGAAGAAAAAAGACCGAATTCCTGTAGGGGGAGAGGGGGACCCAATAGGGGTTTCCTGTACATCACCATTTTAATGGCCATTTGGCTATACCATAAGCTAATCCCTAATAGTTGGGTATTTCTATTAGTTCCATTTTTTCACTATCATTAATGATCATTATTTACAATGATTTCCAGGGAGTTTCGATATTTAAAGATGGAGAACAATGGGTGTTCTGAGATGCCGGATGCCATTTGTATAAGATAAGGAGGGCTGGGTCACATGTAGATTTGCTTTGGAAATATTTAACTGAACGGCCTAATTCCCCAAATCAATGGAAGTGGAAATCCTTTGTAGTTTTGACGTGTTTAGACAGGCGTCCTCCACAGCTGGCCCGGGCAGCTTCTCACCAGCAGAGTGCCCATTCCCCCAGATGCTCACAGACCTTTTAAAGTATGTCGGGCCGTGTGCTATGAGCTCTGCTGGTGGGTGGTATTGCTTTGCCTGTTTCCTATTGTTCACTGGTATTTGGGTTCCTTGTTCTGTGGCTTGTTGGGATCCCAGGAGAGGCTGGCGCAGGAGGGGAGACCTGGCTCCTTATTCAACATCCACAAGCCTCGGCTGGGACATGAGGTGACCTGTTGAAAGGGCCCCGGGGGAAGGGCAGAGCGGAGGGGTCAGGATTCTCTGGGTCCTGTTCACATGGTCCCTTCCCCATGTGGACGTACCGTAGAGTCCCTTCCTGCTTGACATAGAATAAACCCCAGTGTTAGCTGGTTCTGCCCAACCTCAGATCTCAGGGGTCCAGAAGGGAGAAATGAATGGGCTGATGGGCACCAGGGCAGCGGCTCTGGGCATGGGGTGGCTGAGGGGGCGGCCCGGGCTCAGAGTTGGGTCCCCGTCAGCCGAGCATTCCTTCTGTCTGTGTCTCAGGTTTGAGGTGGAAACTGCACACATAGGTTAGATTAGCGCTCAGCGCCTTTTCTGCTGTCCTCTGTCCTGTCCCTCTTTAATGTAACGGATTCTCCTGGGGCCTAGTGTCCGCCAAGCTTGTCAGCAGGTGACTGAAACCCAGAGGGACCGAGTAGGTCACAGGGAAGCACAAGACCTGGAAGCGCAGGGGACGCGCCATCTGCAGGAGGCACCAGCGGTGCACCAGGACCTCCTTGGAATTCCGTGTGACTGGAGGTGAGGGCGTGGAGGTGAGCTAGAGAGGGGTGCGTTGCCAAGCCAAGAGATTCGAGGATCCTGGTTGAGTTTGTTGAGCAACGGCAGCACGAATCCACACGTGTGTTTTACAGAGTTCACACTTATTTGCAGGGGGAGGCCAGCACAAGAGAAGGGGTCTACTGCAATAGTCCAGGCACGAGACTCCTGGGTCCGAACCAGGTGGCGGGAGGGAGAACAGAGAAGGAGTTTGACGGGCACCTAGATGGTGGTATTAGCAGAACTCGATGCCCTGGATGGATGTGGGGACGGGCAGCACCAACTGGAGTGGCTGGCCTCAGCCTCTGCAGTATACCCCCCACCCCCCGTGGTATTCCTGATCTGTGGGCCTTGGCCTGAGCCTCGATTCCCGCCAGTGACAGGGAGCTCATTCCCACGCCTGTGGCTGCTCGAGCCCATCGAGGACAACAAGCTCTGTGGATGTGCTCCACGAAATCCCAGCAGGAGTCTGTTCCTCTCACCCACAGGAAGTGCCCCAGAGCATGACCCAGGACGGGGCAGCCTCACCTCGTTAAATTCAGGATTCAAGGTTTTCTTTTTAATCTGAGTCTTGTGTTTGGCCTTCTTCCCCATGTCTGGTTTCAGCCAGCTGTAAGGGGACAGGATTGGCTGTTACAGATGACATTTAATGACGGGAGCAGCACTGTGACGGCCCCCCAGGCTCCTTCCAGGCATGGGATGAGAATGGAGGAGCAGGTCAGGAAATGAGCCACCCCTGGGGCCTGCAGGCTGCTGGGCAGGCACCAGACCCTGCACCAGGCCCCCCGCACACATGTCACCCTCACACGAGCCCCACTTGTTGTGTTCCTACCGCCGAAGGTCCAGAGAGGTTGGGACATGTGCCCTCGGTCACACAGCCGACAATTATACCCAGCCGTTGTATCTGGAGCCTGTGTTCTTAGCTGCCACTTTCTCCCAATCAAATGGGGGCGCGTGGCTGATGGTACCTGGCACTTTCACCCCTTAGGCTGCCCCTCCCCTCAAGTCCTGGTGAGATGCTAGGTGTGTGGTGGGTTGGGGGAGTGGGGGGAGACAATTCTGACCTGATGATGTCATCCCACTGCTGCTCCCTTTGACCTGGGAGGAGAGTTTAAAGCCCTCAGTAGCCTTAAGACCCTGTGTGGCTGGGTCCCTGCTCTATCCCAGCCTGATCCTGTTGCACCCTGTTCTTGCTTTCCTTTCCACCTCAGGGCCTTTGTACATACTGTTTTTTCTGTCTATAAGTCTTCCCTGGTTCAGGCACAAGGTTTGGCACATAGTAGATGCTCAGTCAATATGTTTGGGATGGACACTGCATACTTTAGGGACAATGTTTGACAAAAGTCAAATGTTCATTATCAAAATGTGTAAATAACATTCGTTGCCAATAAAGGTTTTTTTTAATCTATGCTAAAAACTTTTTTAAAAAAACTTAGACATTTAAACATAATGCTCTAAATTTTGCAGATGTCATTTGGATTCTCTCTGCCTGAGGCCATCACTAGCTGAGCTACTTTGAACATGAGTGTAAACTTACTGTTTGTGCCTCAGTTTCCTGACATGTAAAGAGAGCACACATTTCTGTCTCATTCACAGATTTAAAGATAATTTTTAGAAGAGTCACAAATAAGGAATTGAAAATTCCCCAAAGCTGAAAAAATTATAGGGCAATTCCGGCTTAAACATCCTTATTTGATTGTAAACTGCATAACGGTCTCCCATTACCTTTCCTGTGAGCTGGTTCGCTGGGGGCCCTCTGGAAGGATCAGGTTGGGAGGGGGATTGTTTGGGGGAAACCTCTGCCTGGGACTGAGACAGAATGGAGCCCAGGTCACTCCCTGTGGGGTGAGCTCCTTGTCCATCTTGGGCCTTATCCAAATCTCCCTGAGAAATCAAATTTAGCCCTGATGAGGGCTCCTGGTTAACAGAATCATCACTGGGAGAAATTCTGGAAGAAGGTTCACCGTGGCCTGTTCTTTCCCCAGGGCTCAGGGCTCACTGGGGGACAGTGGAGGTGGGAGTGTCCCCCGGTGGGAGAGAACATTAAGAAACACTCTGCCGTGAATAAGGAAAGTGATAACCACAACAGCGGTATTTACTGAGCACCTACTATGTGCCAGACCTCACAAAAGTGCACCTCTTGGGTCCCGGAGGGCAGGTGATGAAATTGACTGACAGGTGGATGGAGCTTTGAACTGTGTTCTATCTCGTGAGTTTGCAGGGACACGTGGTGGCTCATTCCTGGAGTGTGCAGGGTCCCCTGGAGGCTTTGTGTGGACCTGCACTGCAGCCGGAAATTCTTCCTGCCTAGATTTCCTTCTTGCCCTCTCCCCTCTGCAGGGATCAGACTTGTAATCGGGGTCTGTCTTCTATAGGGACCTCCTCTGGATGCCTCCTGGATCCCTTCACAGACATTTCCCCCATGAATCTCCTGCATATCTCATTCTTTCTTAGAGAATCTGCACTAACACACAGTGCTATTCTATTTTACAGAGGAAGACACTGAGGTTCAGAGAGGCTAAGCTACAAACCCCAGGCCACACAGCCAGAGAATACTGGAGAATTGGAGCTGAGAGTCAAACCCAGGCAGTATGAACCCAGAGCCTACCCTCTTAATTATTCCACAAAGACACATTTTGCTGCCACAGGGTAAGGCAGGATTCCATAGAGGCGCTAAACATGACTATACTTGGTGTAATTGTAATTGCTCTATATGGGTGGGCCTCTCTAATTCAGAATCTACAACGATCCAAAGTCTGAAGCTTCTTGGGGGAGAATTTCACCCTCAATTTCACGTGATCACATTTCACGTCATGTGATCGGCCTCAGTCAGAAAGCAGGTGCACTACAGATAGTCCATAAATTCGCCTCCGACTCTGTGTGGGGGAAACCTCTGCCTGTAGTGTGTATTTCAAACATAAATGAATTTTGGGTGCAGAATTGGGTGCCACACACAAGAAGTTTCGCTGAGTATGTGCAGATTTTCCCAAAGCCCCAAACATCTGGATTAACAAGATATGACCCCTGTGATCGGGGCTTTTGAGGAATAACCTACAACCTATAACCCATCTAAGGTCTTGCAGCATTTCTAGGATGAATCTGGGGGAAGCCGGGTGGGTGCTTTGGGGCTGGGGCTCTGGGCTGCAGGAGAGGGTGCGGCTGACTCCTGGGGGCTGCACATGGGGTCATTGTCACCACCTGCCACTCCTTCTCCCAGGAGGGGGCAGAACCGCCAGCCTCGCAGGGAGACCCCACCTCCCCCTGGCTCCCATCCCGGTGCGCAGTTCACTGTGGGCCCGCCCCTCCCGGGCCTTGGGGCGCGAGGGTCTCAGGAAGCTCCCTGGCCCCGGGAGTCCCTTCGTGGTCCCCAGGCGCGGACTCACAGCTTGACGAACGGGTCCGAGTAGCCGTTGGCGTCCATGGCGGCCAGGTGCACACAGCGCACGATGCCCACGATGAGGCCCCCCTGCTGTGTGCTGTACATCAGGGACACCAGGATCTTGCCTCGTTCCTCAATGTCGCCAATGCGCTCCACCTGCTGCTTGGGGCGGGGAGGCAGGGTAGGCTCGTGGGCGGGGGGGGGGGGGGGGGGGGTGTCCCCGAGCAGCGGGCCAGGGGCAGGGTCAGCACCACGGACAGCGGACGGACCCACCCTGATGGGCGCTGAGGCACCGGGGCCAATGGCCGGCTTTGACCCCGCCCGGGACTGAGCCCTGACTCTGAGCAGAGGCTGAGCCTGACGCTGGCCCCTCACTGGCCTTGACCCTGACCCAGGGCTGAGCTTGACCCTTGACTCTGCTCTCACCTCTCCCTGACCAAGTGCACTCCCTGGGGTCCCAGGAAGGACCTGGGTGGGAGATGGGCAGGGTCCGCCTGCTCCCGCCCACGGAGGGAGCCGCTCCTGCTCTGGTCTTCCGTGAACTTGGGGGAGCAAGGCCAGGGGCATTCTGGGCGCGGGGGCTGCTCTGCTGCAGGACGGGGCTGGGGAGGAAGGGCAGAAACAGGAGCAGGGCAACCAGCACAGCACCCCGCCGCCCTTGACGCTCACCTCTTCCTCGTAGAGCGCCATGCCGCGGGCCGACCCAGTGGTCCCTGCGCGCTTCATCTGAAAGGAAGGAGACAACATTGTCTATGGGGCTCATCTCCTGGAACCCCTCAGGCAGACCACCCGTGATATAGGTTCTATTACAGTCCTCAATTTACAGATGAAGACACTGAGGGTCAGAACACGATCAGAACATCTCACACATAAAATGTAAGATTTAATTCACTCGGATTGAGCGGCTCAGGAGACCTGGGGTCTGGCCCACCCGGTGCTTCTTCCCCTGTGACTCCTGAGCTTCTTTGGTAGACTCTCAGGCTTTGAGAAGCACAGTCTGCAAAACACTGGTTAAAATTCAACCTTAGAGATGAGGAGAGCCAGGATCAGAGGGAAGGGGTCAGCATTTAGTAGGCGCCAGTCCTCAGTGGGGCACCATGTGCGGGTTGGTGGTCGAACAGTGTCCTGGGACCGTGGCAGCCCCCACCTGTTCTGCCACCTCTGTCACAGGCCAGCTCTGTCCACCTAGCAAGAGGGAGCTGAGGGCCCCACTGGGGGCCTGCTGGGGTCCTGCCCAGCTGGACTCACTGAGTGAGGGTAAGAAGAGGAAGTCCAAAGGGCCGGGTGCTACCAGGCCAGGGCCCGCGGAGGTGGCTCACAGGGGGCTGCTCTGAATGACAGAGCTGTGCCTGGGGTTCAGTGTAAAGTGCCCCCCACAGTCTGCCTTGTGTGGGGGTCTTCCTCCTGTGCTTCAGCTATAAAAATGTGGCCTGGCTCCCAGAGAGTCCATTCCCAGGCTGGCCGTTGGGTGGAACAGGCTGCAGCACCCCGCCTGGCCCCCTGGATCCCCACGGGGAGCTGGCTGCTGCCTGGGGGGCTGGTGGCAGCGAGCTGTCGGCTCAACCCAGGATTTCTGGAGAGCAGGGTGCTGCCTCTCGAGAGCTCCGTCCATTCCGGACTCCGGGCCTGAGTTACCAACTTGGTTTGCTGAGTTCCTGTTCTAGAATTCCCCATAAGCTCTGGGGTGCTGCCTAATTGGGAAACCTCAATTTGATACCTGTTCTTTCTCTAAGGACAAGTGCCACCCCCAATGAGAACCATGATCCTACTCTGTATCACTGTCACGTGTAATCCTTAAAAGACCCCGTGAGGTGTGTACTACAGAGTCCCATTTAACAGGTGAGAAAACCAAGGGCCAGGGACATGGGGGCTGTGCCAAGCCCTGCCTCTCTGTATGGTGTCATATGGCTTTGGGACGGGCAGGAGGGTTAGGAGCAGTGTTCCTGTGACAAAAGCTGATCATTTACGATGCTTGCTACACAGTGGGCTCTGTTCTGGGCTTTGTTTGTTTGCGTTAAACACAACCATCTTATGCCACCGCTACGATGTCCATTTCCTAGGCTCAGAATGGCTCAGTTCACCACGGAACAGGAAGGGGCAGCTGGACCTTGACCCTTGACCCCAGGGCACCTTGGGAGAAATGATGTTAACTGGGATCTGCCTGGCAGAGGGGACAGGGCCTGATGCTACCTGCAGAGAGCGCCCCCTTCCTCTCCACAGAGGCCACAGCGCTTGGCCCCGGTGGGTGCCCTAAGGGTGCCTGGTGGGTTTGACCCCAGAACAGACCCAGGAAGGTGGCAGGCACCCCTGCCTCTGGTCCCCCATTGAATCACCAGGCCAGGGCACTCACGGGGATCACCCGCTCCAGACAAATATTGAAATTCTTCCTCTGGTTGGGCTTCAGTTTCTTGAGCGAGAATCTGGTCTCCCCAATAAACTCATTGTGGCCGAATTTGTCCTCGTCACAGACGGAGATCCTGCCATGGACATAAGGGGGTGGGGAGGAGAGAGAAGCAAGCGCTGCACTCCTACTGTGTACCGGGCTTATGGCTGATGGTGGTGAGGGACGTGGGGGTGTCTAGGGGTGAGGGTGTCCTCTGTGTGGACCCCTGGGCTGGGCACTGTTTATCTCTTCCCGATTCACGGTAACGTCCACACGGTCAAGTGCGCCTGGTCAGCACGCACGGCCTGACCACGTGAGCCCTGCACACACTGCTCAGCTCAGGATATGGGAGGTTCTAGGGTCAGCAGCCTCTGGGACTCCCTGCCTCCTGGGTCACCCCTCTCTTGGCCTCTGGCTGCATGGAAGCCACTTGTCTTGCATTTGGCTTTCAGATAAATAGAGTCGGAGAGCGCGGGCTCCTTCCCATAGGGCTTCCTTTGCTGAGCACCATAACTGGGAGACTCAGCTGTGCACCTGCGGCCTCCGAGTCCACCAGTTCTGCACCCGTGGGTCAGCCCCACCAGGGGCGGGAAACATTTGAAAATATTTTCAGCCTGCACTGAACGTGCATAGGTGTCTTTCTTGTCATTATGCCCTGACCGGACACTGTGACCGACCACTATTTACACGACATCCACATGGTGTTAGGTGATAAGTCACCTAGAGGTGACCTGGGATGGCCAGGAAGACCTGCAGGCCGGGATGCCTTCACTCTGCCGCTTCAGACACAGGCCTCCTGCCTCTGAGGACCAGTGTCCACCCAGCCCTGGGACCACTCCCTGTGGACACTGCTAGAACTCGACGTTGTTTTGGTAAATGGAATAAGGAAAGAATGATGCAGGGGATTTTTAAAAGGGGGACACCCAGGAGCTGTGCCCCAAGTCTCAGTTCTGCCCGGCCTTGGTCCCCTCTCGCCTCCCCCCGCCCTGAGGTACCTGAGGGTCTTCCTCTGCATGTCCTCGTCCGTGATGCCGTGGTACACAAGGGTCTCATTCCAGACAGGGTTCCGGGTGTTCCGCAGGGTTTTTGTACGTAGCTTGTTGGACTAGAGCCCCGGAGAGATGGACAGACAGATGCCCACCTCAGTGGGAGTGGCCCTGGAGACCCATCCCGTGAGCTTTTTTGGGGGTGGGCAGTGGCTTTTCCCAAAGGAGCGTCCCAGGGCTTAGTGTTCCCAAATGCATGCTCTGAGCATGTGGCATGTCCTCTAGACGGTGGCCACAGACACAAGTGTTAATGTTGTGCACTGCTCCCTCCTTAAGGGAAGGAAGAAGAGACGTCGTCCTTTGAGACGTCCCTGGCACCTGTCCTTTGAGAAGCCAGACATCTTTACAAGTCAGGGAGGTAGAAATGAGTCTCCCGTCCCTAGGCAGGGGACACTGGGACAATTCCCTCCATTGCCCCAAATAGTATCCTTCCTGCCTGAAATGCCTTAGAGGAGACAGAATATGAAACTTTGTTCCAAGAGAGAAGAAATGTCACTGCATCAGAAGAGGAGAACTGGTGACAAATCTAATCCACGCTGACATGTAAGTGGCTCCTATTGGATCTTCTGACAAGGCGGGTTTGGAGTTGACAAAAAAGTGTCTTCAATGGCGGGGGGAATGAGTTAGATATCATCATCCTAAGTACATGTGGGAAGTCACGAACTGTGTGAGAATACTTTGTGACCCATCAGTGACTTGAAAAATTGTGCTCTATATGTGTGACATGAAGTGAACTGCCTTCTGCCCTGGTGTATAACAAATTAGAATAAATAAATATGTAAAAGTGTGCCTTCATGGGAAGCAAAGGCTGCTGGGAGTGGGTAGAGTTTATGAGCTGGCCACGGCCAGGTGAGGGACTGTTTTTGATCCAAATAAAGGAAGAGCTGGGCGCTATGGTGCACACCAGCAGCTCAGGAGGCTGAGGCCGGAGGATTTCGAGTTCAAAGCCAGCCTCAGCAAAAAGCAAGGAGCTAAGCAACTCAGTGAGACCCTGTCTCTCAATAAAATGCAAAATAGGGCAGGGGATGTGGATCAGTGGTCAAGCCCCCTGAGTTCAATCCCCAGTACCCCCCCACCAAAAAGCAAACAAACAAATAAACAAACAAAAAACAACAAAGGAAGAATGAGCCAAAGTGTGCATGTGTGCACATGCATGTGCGTCCATGTCCTCTTTTGTCTTAGGGGGCACCTGAAACTTTCAGAGGTATTTAACAGGTGGGGCCCCCACCCCTCAGACACAGAATGCTGTCTGAAGGGCTTGGCACTAAAATCTGGGGAAAGTCACTCGTTTCTGTCCAGAGAGAGCCTTGGTCAGCACTGGGGAGCCATACCCCTCACGGCTTTGCACTCATGGGGCGGGGCCTAGATTGGGGGCAGATATGGCTATTTTAGGCTCTGAGCTGAGAGCCCTGTGGCTGCCAAGGCCCAGGCTCCAGCCTGCAGAAATGCCCAGGCCAGATGGTACCTTGCTGGCTCCTGGCAGGAGGTGCAGCTTCACATAGGGATCGGCCAGGCCATTGGAATCCATGGGCTTCAGTCCCTGCAAGAGACGGAGGCAACAGAGGTGAAGACCTGGGGAGGGCTGGGGTCCAGGCGTCCTGGGCAATGGGCATGTCCCCTGGCATCTGCCCCTCCTGTCCATCTACCCTGTGTGTTCCTCTTCCAAAGAGAAAAAAGGGGAACATGGTGTCATGGGAAGAGCACAGGGATCAGGCAGACAGGGCTCCAAGGCATGTCACTCCCTAGCTGTGTGACCTTAGGCAAGTTTCGTAACCTTTCTGGGCCTCAGTTTCCTCACTGGACAATCTCACCACTCGTTTTCAAGGAATGGGGAGATTTAAATGCAGTCCCACCTGTCAAGTGCCTGCTCCCCACCGCTTGGAAGCCTACATTAGTGCCTTTGTAGCTGTGGCCGCAGGCCCCCTGCTCCGGCTGAGGCTCCAGCTGGTCATGGGGAACCAGGCCCAGGAGGACACAGTGCTATTCTGCCTTGTCAGCTGTCAGGCCGAGCTGCGAGCTGGCATGACTTCCCAGGTGGCGCCTCCACGCCACCCCACCCAGGTGCTGAGCAGCCCTGGGCAGATCCTGGCTCCGCCCCCTAGAGGCAGCCAGAGGTAAATGCACCCCCGGTGGACCATCCCAGGGGAAGTCCCACCCCCCCAAGGAATCTGCTGTGGCTAATGACTGTGCTGCCCTCATCACTGTCACTGTCCCAGGTAGGTGACAACAGACAGGCCTGGCAACCCATCCCCACCTGAGTCTCCTAAGAATTCCAGAGCATCCCGGGGTCCCCCAGGCCCCTCACCCACCTTGGCCTTCACGATGGTGCACTGCAGAGAGCTGTTGTCCTGGTCATAGAGCAGGCTGAATTCCAGGGCACCCAGGGTGGCTGAAGGGGACAGAGACAGGAGCTGGGAGGACACTTGTGTATTCATTCAACAAACATCTCCCGAGCACTTTCTATGTGCCCGGGCGGGGCTGGCCATGGAGACGACAGGGGGAGGAGGACACTGGCCCTGCTCTGGTCGCTCCCTCTGGCTGACCCCCCTCTTCACAGCCTCCTGGGTCAGTTAATTGTTTGTGCACTTGTTTAGTTAATGACTCCCCATCCTGCTGGATCGAGAGCCCCAGGAGGGCAAGGGTGGGCACTGTCCTGCTGACAGCTGGGTCCCCACTGTGCATGGTGAAGGACACACAGTAGGCCTCTCTTACTGGATGAAGGAACGAATGAGTTTGAGCCTTTGCCCTTCCCATTGCCTGGAATGCTCCCCCTCCACATCCTCACATGGCTCACACTGTCTCACAGAGAGGCCCCCCTGACCCCTCTGTGTGCCGCGGCCACCCTGGCCATCACGCCACGTCTTATCCCCTGCTCCGTGCTCTGTCTCCGTTTGCAGTGAGCTCGATTTGTTAACAATCCCTGCACTAGAGTGTTGGCTCCGGCGGCTCTGCCAGCTCGTCTGCCCATCATTCCAGCCGAGTTGTCCCCAGTTCTCCAGCAGTTCGAGGCGCCTGGCACGGGCTCATTGAATGTTTGTCAAACATAAAGACATGAGCGGCGAGTGCCGGGTTGTGTCTGAGGACAGGCTTGTCACCAGCCGCATGGAGAGGCTTATGGAGAGGGCAGACAAGAGGCTGGGAGGGTTCCCCTATTGCTGGAGGGCTGGGGGACGTTCAGACACTGGGGGGCAGAGGTCCCGTCCAGGACAAGGAGCAGGACAAGGCAAGGCAGGCAGATGGCTTCTACCCGCCCGGAGAAGAAACAGCCCGTGGCCAGCAAGGCCAAGGGGAGCCTAAGACCCCTGACCCAGGGGAGAGCACGGAGATCATGGGGACAGCTGACGCTCACTCAGCCTGGCCTCTGACCTGCGTGAGCTCCGACAAGTCCCTAAGCCTCTCGGAGCCTCGCCCAGGCCATCTACAAGATGGGGCAATAGCAGGAGTTTCCCAGGTTCCCAGGAGGATGAGGTGAGCACAGGTGCCCAGCACACCTGGGCGGGGGGTGCAGAAGCAGCAAGTGTGACTGTCCAGTCCCCTGATGTCCAGATCACATCATAGTGACTCTTCTGTGTTTAGCACTTAGGGGGAGGATGGAGCCAGTCACAAAGCCCCTCCCAGGAGGGACCTCAGCTGACCACCCGTGCAGGAGGTGCCCTCTGTGCAATGAGGCGAGTTGGCCCGGAGGACCGAGGCCGAGCTGCTGGCCGCTGGGTGGGTCAGCTCCAGAGGGCTCTTGGAGCACCCATGGGACCCAGATGCTGCTAACCCTGCCTCCCCAGCTCTCCCGGCTGCACCCAGGAGAAGACTGTGCCCCCACGCGTCCCTGGGCCTCGGGGTCTGGGAGGGGCCAGATGCACAGAAGCCGGGGAAGGTGAAATGCTGGTTAGAAGTCCTGCCAGAGGACACCGTCAGGCAGTTTTTCCAACTGTAGACGGGCACACCCAGGATGGGGCTCACCGGCCTGTGACAGCTCTGTCTGACTGAGGGAGAGGACACCCGCACGGCTCCTACCTTGCTGTCTTAAAATGACCACGGTAACTTTGATGTCGTGTGTGTTTCACCAGAAAACTGGGCATTTATCTTTAGGAAGCTGATCTCATTTGGGGAACTTGGAAACACAGATTTGTATTTTTCTAACTCTAACATGTACGAGGGCTGGGTGGATGGGCGGACCCAGGGCGGGCCCTGACTTCCTGGGGTCAGCTCCTGGGGTGGCTTCTCCTAGACACTGCTTCTCAGGTGCCACCTACTTGCTTCATCGGAATCGTAGCTGTTGGCATCCTCTTCCTCCTCCGGGGGTGGCTGGCGGGCGGGGGCGCGGGCAGGCTGGGGCGCAGCTGCAGCTGCTTGGGAATAAGGGCCCCCAACTCCCCCTGTTCTCTCTTCCCGGGCTGGGGCCGTGGTTCCCGTATAGCCAGGGTCGCTGGGAGCCACTTCTGTAGGGACATGAGAGAGGACACATGAATCCCTGTTTTATACTAACAGTATTTAAGGAAGCGTAAGGGGCCTGCAGGTTCCCAGGCCATCCGTGGGCCGTGCATTGGGGCATGGGAACCTGTGTTGGACAGCAAACCCCTGGAGGCGATTCACACATGGGCAAAACAGACCTCTCAGGGTGCTGAGCAGTGGTGTGGACCCCAGACAGCTTGGGTTTGTATTGTGGCTGTGTGACCTCAGGTGAGTTACTTAATGTCTCTGAGCCTCAGGTTTCTCATCTGTAGAATGGAAATCATACCTGAGTGTACTGTAATAGTAGTGGGTATTATTTTACACAATGCCCTAATTGCACAGCACTGAAACAGTACCTGGCACATTAGAAAGCAATGGCTACGTGGTGGCCGTGAGGGTTGATGATGGATGGCCACGCTATGGATCCTACACAGGGATCACTGCTGCTTACTGGGGGCTTAACACACACTGGGCTCTGTGCTAAGGTTTTTTTATTTATTAGTTTGCTTCACCCTCCTAACAACCCGGCTGATAAGAAAACTGAGGTTCAGGGAAGTTCAGTGACTTGTCCTAGGTCACACAGTGAGAAAGTAAGGGAACAGGGATTTGAGACCTGACCATCTGTGCTCTGAACCCCATTCTGTGTTGGCATTGCCTGTCTATCGAATCAGCATGGATGACTTGGAGGGTTAGCATCAGGGGCTGCTTGGACCCCATCAGATAGTCTCAGAATGCAGGCTGAGCCCGTGGTGGGTACTGATTTCACCAGGGCAGTAAGCGGAGGTGGCCAGGTGGGTGGTGACGGAGAGGCGGGCACTTGGGAGGGAGCAAACACTTGCCTGGTCTCTGCTCTGGAAAGCGCCCTGCTGGCCCTGGCGCGGGTCTGCTGCCCCCTGGGGACCCTGAGGGGGAAGGAGAGAAGGGGTATAGCAGAGGGGCCATGTCACTTAGGCGCCTCCTCCTCCGCCCCCCCTCCACCCCCACCTCACCTCCTCCTTGCTCTGCCCCTTCTCCTCTGCCCCGCCTCCTCCTCCGCCCGCCACCTCCTCTGCCCCTCATCTTCTGTCCCGCCTCCTCTGCTACAGCCTCGCCCCTTCTCCTCTGCCCTGCCTCCTCCTCCTATGCCCTACCCCTCCCCCCTCTGACCTACCCCTCCTCTGCCCTACCCTTTCTCCTCTGCCCCACCCCTTCTCCTCTGCCCCACCCCTTCTCCTCTGCCCAGCCTCCTCCTCCTCCTCTGCCCCGCCCCTCCTCCTCTGCCCCGCCTCTTCCTCCTGTGCCCCACCCCTCCCCCTCTGACCCGCCCCTCCTCTGCCCCACCCTTTCTCCTCTGCCCCACCCCTTCTCCTCTGCCCCACCCCTTCTCTGTCCCGCCCCTCCTCCTCCTCTGCCCCGCCCCTCCCCTTTGCCCCGCCCCCTCTTCCTCTGCCCCACCCCTCCTCCTCTGCCCCGCCCCTTCTCTGCTTTACCATCTCCTCCTCCTCCTCCTCTGCCCCACCCTTTCTCCTCTGCCCCACCCCTTCTCCTATGCCCCACCTCCTCCTCCTCTGCCCCGCCCCTCCTCCTATGCTCCTCCTCCCCCTCAGCACCTCCCCTTCTCTGCTTCACCACCTCCTCCTCTTTCTCCTCTGCCCTKCCCAGCATCTGCGCCTAGAGGATGACTCCTCTTAGGCGTCTCAGAAGATCTTAGGTTCAGTGAAGGCTGCATTGAAGAAAGCCCCGCAGCTCTGTAAGAAGGAGGGAGGGATGGGGTCGCTAAGGAGTGATGGCCTGGACAGGTGGGTGGGTGAGTGGCAGGTACCTGGCTGTCCAGGCTGAGGAGGTGCTGGGCTGGGCACCGAGGCGGGGGCGGGTCTCGAGGCCTGGACAGAGTTGGCTCGTCTCAAACCTGCAGGGGAGGGAAGGAAACAGCCGTCAGGACTCACAGGCGCACACCTGCGCAAGCGCATGCACACACTCGTGCGCACTGTAGGCAGGAGCTCGGTCTCTGATGAAGCAGCCCTCCACCCCCAGCTCTCCCCGCCCTTGCCCGGGCCCCCTGGGTGTTTTCTCTTTCCAACACTGAGCCCCTGCAGGTGAAGCCCAGCTGCAGCATGGGTGTTAAAAGGCACAAGTTTGTGATTATGTTTCTGCTGGTGACTTGACACAAGTGACCTGTTCTCTTGGGCCTGCCTCAACTTTGTCATCTGTGGAATGGGGATTACAGCCCCCACTACATGGGGCTGTGATGAGAGCACAAAGATCCAATCCAGGCACAGTGCTAGAAGGGATGCTTGGCCCACAGGCTGTGCTCAACGGGTGTCAGTCAAGATTATTTCATTATTATTGAAATACTGCCATTACGTGGACCTGCTTTCGCATTCCAGCCTTTACCTTTATAAGCTGTGTGACCCTGGGCTCCTTGCTCAGCCTCTCTGAACCTATGCCTCATAGAATTGACAGCTCTACTGACCTTACAGTAATCACAAATTAATATTTACTCACTGTATACCATGTGCCAGGGACTTTACATATGAGCATTCAGTTAATCTCTACACTAATAATCCCATGAGGCGAGTGCTCTGTGGTCACCATTATACAGGTGGGAAAACTGAGGCACAGTGGGATAAGGAGCTCATCCAATGTCTCATGGCTGGTTAGCAGCAGTGCCAGGGTTTGAACTCGGGCAGCTGGTGTTGAGTCTGTGTCTGAGACTCTTGGATGAGGCTGGCAGGGGTCTGTGAGAAGCAGGTCCTGGCTCCAGCATGTGCTACATTTCGAGAAGAAATCCCCAGACTCTTATCTTACTGTTTGGATCATATCTTTCCTGAATTCAGATCAGCTCTTTTTTTCTGGACAGATGCTCATGACAGAGGGCACCTTGCTAGTGCTGCCAAGCCTTACAAACCCCCAAGTCTTGTCCTGCATCCTACATTAGCACCGCTGTTTGTTTTGCTCCTTTGCATTCTTGTATTTATTCATTTGTGCATCAGCAAATGTTCATTGAACATCCACAGAGTGCCCAGCCCTCTGCAGGGATGGGCAGCAGAGGTAATAGATGCCATCTGTTACCTCCAGGAGGGTGCAGCCTGGTCAAGGAAGGAGATGGACACTGAGTCCATGAGAAAAATAGCAACCAGAATTCTCTGGGGGCTTCCAGTATACCAGACCCTGAGCTGCTCAATGCTGCATGTGGCACTAGGGTCCCCAATCTGCAATTGAGGACCTTTCTTTCTGTGTTTTAACTTTGCATCCTGTGGGCTGACAATATTCACTCACTAGTTCTGATTGTCACTATAGGTTCCTTTAGGAGTGTCTCATGCGATCTGTGATAGAAACTGTTTTGCTTCTTCCTTTATAAACTTTCTGCCTCATATTTTTTCCTGTCTTATTGCGATGGCTGAGATCGCCAGTGCAGTGTTGAATAGGAAGGGTTGAGAAGGGAAGATGGCAATAGTAAGGAAGCTGATCTCACAAGGTTGTTGTGAGGACTCAATGAACATGACAAGGGCTTACTTGGGTGTCTGGCTTTTGGAATGCTACATAAATGTTTGCCATCATTAGAACAGTAGGTGCTCAATAAATGTTGGGTGGACGGATTAATATTTTGTAAATTACTGGTTATTCAGTTGGAAGTGAGGGCAGAAGGATAACCTTACAGTGGAAGAAGAAACTTGAGAATTTTATTCTGGAGTCACAGAAGAGAAAAACAGCAGTCTGGGACAGAAAGAGAACAATTGGCTATGTGCAACGGGGAAGCCATTTGGCTCTAGTACAAGGTAACACTGTTTCTCAAGTTCAACCTCTTTTTTTCTTGGCATAGGAAGCCCTGCCTGGACTGGCTCTGGGATATCTCCAAGGGAGGGCTGTGGTGTAGAGTAGTTCGGGTTGTGCACTGTCCAATTTTAGGAGGGGCACCTCTATCACCACTCCATATTACGGACTCCTGGACCACTGTTAGCCTGGCCATGCGTTGTCTCTGGACCTTTGCACATGCTGTTCCTCTACCTGGAATGTATTACCCCACCCACCCCCACCACACACACACACACACACGCTGAATGTGCTGTACCTAGTTTATTTATTTTCCTGATATAGTTCTCCCTTAGAAGCCACCTTCTCTGTGAAGTCTTTCTGGGACTCCAAAAATAGATGTTCTGGGTTCCCAGGTCCCTCTCAATGTCCTCTTGGGGGCTTCCTCTGGAAATGCATATACAGAACTTGGTGCCTGGCACACCTTGAACACTCAATAAATGTGAGTGATAACCCATCCTCCTTGGTCTTGGCACCTCTATTATGGCGGTTATAAATCTCTCTTGCTATTTCTGGGTTATGTTGCTTTTCCTTCTGCTGGAGTGTGAGCTCCTAAGGTTGGGACAAGGTCTGCATGATACCTTTATCTCCATCACTTAATACCAGGCTTGGAGTATAGTAGGTGCTTACTAAATAGTTGTGGAGCCTGGCATGGTGGCGCACCCCTGAAATCTCAGTGGCTCCAGAGGCTGAGGCAGGAGGATCTCGAGTTCAAAGCCAGCCTCAGCAACAACGAGGCCCTAAGCCACTCAGTGAGACCCTGTCTCTAAATAAAATACAAAATAGGGCTGGGATGTGGCTCAGTGGTCGAGTGCTCCTGAGTTCAATCCATGGTACCCAAATAAATAAATATGTACTTGTGGAATGAGCCATGTTTTATGACAGGGGCTCTTTAGGAGATCCCGTTATGGAGAGTATAGCAGAAGAGCATCAAGTCCCTCTCAGAGAACCACTGGAGGGGTTTCCACACTGTGTCAAGGGTGGATCCTGAGACTCCAGGGTTAAGCTCTGGAACAAAAGAGTCTCACTGGCAATTTGTTCCCTGGAGCTACTCTCAACCCCGCCAGCCAGTGGGAGCTACAGAGCAGCTAACGGCAGAGGCTCTGCACGGGAACTGCTTGGGTTCTGATACCAGACAGGCCATGACTTTTATGTGACTCTGGGCAAGATTTCTTTATTAGCCCCTTTTCCATATCAGTTAGGTGAGGGTGACTGGTACCGTTGACAGGGCTAAACACCTGCAGAGTTTGATCACATGCCTGGTGCAGGGTCGGTGCTCAGGACACTTGAGTTGTGATACTAACTGTGCATTCAAGTCTGCAAATCTTGAACAGCCTACAATCTACCAGAAATCTTAGTGCAGCTAGAAAACAAGGAGAAAGAGCTCAAATCGTAGTTGTGCTCAATAAATATTTGCAAACTTGAGTTAATGGAGAGAGACACACGTTGGTGTGAATCGGACCAGGGAGAGAGACAATGGCTAGTGCTGCCTCCCGGCCCCGTCTCTGGGAATTCAGGGCAGGGAGTGGTTAGCTCAGCTACAGGTGGAGCAGGAGGAATCCCAAAGCGCCATCCACCCAGGGGACATTACATTGACTCCTGAGGGACAGGAGCTCTAAGTCCGGCTTAGGATTGTCCTGGGAGTGTCTGTAGCCCCAGGAGGCAAAATGATATAGAGATTAAAAGCATAGGATTGGATATACAAAAATTAGATCAAAATGGACCAGAGACTCAAATGCAAAAGCTAAAATTCTAAAATTCTTAGAAGAAAACACAAGGGGAATCTCCATCACTGTGATTTCTTCACTATGACACTAAAACTACAGGAAGCAGAAGAAAAAGTAGATAGATTGGACTTCATTAAAAAACAACAAACAATCTTCTGTGCATCAAATGGAAAGTGAATAAGCAACCCGTGGAATGGGTGAAGGTATTTACAAATTGTGTATCTGATGAGGCATCAATATCCAGAATCCACAAAGAGCTCCTACAACACAACAGCCCCCACCCCCTGACTTAGAAAATGGGCCAAAGACCGAAATAGACGTTTCTCGGAAGGAGACATACAGAGGGCCGATGAGCACATGAAAAGACGTGTCGTGTCACTCATCTTAGGGAAATGCAAACCAAATCTACAATACCTCAATGATCCTTTCACACTCTAGGATGGCTACTATTTAACAACCAGACAAAACAACAAAGAGAAACCAAGAAAAACCAGAAAATCACAAGCGTCAGAGAGAATGTACTGAAACTGAGACCCTGTGCACTATTGGAAGAAATGCAAAAGTAGTGCAGACACTGTGGAGAATAGCACAGCGGGTCCTCAAAAAATTAAACATAGAATTGTCATTAGATGTGGCAATTCTACTTGTAGGTATAACCCCAAGAGACTCAAACAGGTATTTGTATGCCGTGCTCAGCAGCACTATTCACAACCACAATGCCCCACTGACGGATGGATGGATAAATAAAATATGGCATATCCATGCAACAGAATATTACACAACCTTGAAAAGGAAGGGAATCCAGATACATGTTACAACTTGGGTAAGCCGTGAATATATTACAGTAAGTGAAATAAGCTACATACAAAAAGACAGATACTGTATGATTCCACTTACATGTGGTATCTAGAATAGTCAAATTCATAGAAAGAAGAGTCATGGTCACCAGGGACAGAGAATGGGCAAAATGAGAAGCTACTGTTGAATGGACACAAAATTTGAGTTTGGAATGATGAAGAAGCTCTGGAGATGGATGGTGGTGATGGTTGCACCACAGTGTACTTTCTGTCACTGAACTGTGCATGAAAAAAAAATTTGAAATAGCAAATGATACTTCTAATGAAACACAGAATTTTAATACATTTTACAAAAATATAGAAGACATAGAATAGAAATTTCACCTCTGGCAAAAAAAAAAAAAGACAAGCTTTTGTGATAAGATGTGGGTTGAATTGTCATTTTAACCAGTCATGGGTAATGTACCCCAGGGAACGTGGTGGCTTCACCACCTGTAAGATGGGAATCGTGACATCTCACAGCTGGATCTGGGGTGTGGCAAGGGTTAACTGGGATGGTTTGTGGGAAGTGCCTGGGATGGCATCAAGGACACAGTATGCACCCAGTAAGCATTTTGGGATGTTGTGGATCTAGAAATTCATTTTTCTCTGTCATCTGAACCACAGGTTCATGGAGGGGTCTGGGAAGCTGATGGCATGTGCCCAATTTTGTCACCAAGAAGAAGGGGGCACTGAAGTGCTATGCCATGAGCCCCAATTTGGAAAGTAAAGACCCAAACTCAACATGGGACCTCAACATTCAGCCTGTCTGACTTAGACCTGGGCTCAGCCGAGGTCTCAGACAGGTGCATATGGAACATAGATGTCCCCAACCTATTTGGCATTTTCTTTAAAATCTAGGGTCAGAGGACTCTCCCCAGTGGGCACCCTTGCTGTGTAAATCTGCCCCTGGTGGGCCCAGAGGTACCAGGCTAGACGACAGCATCTGTGATGACAACCTGGTCCTGCTGACCCACCCCATCCTCACAGAGAGCAGAGTCCACGTGCCCAGGGAAGGGAGAGCTTGGGAGGGTCTTGAGAGTGAAACATCTTTGCTTTTCTCAAAGCCAAGGGGTATTTTCCCTCAGGTATTTTTTTTAAAAAACAAGGCAAAAGGAACTGGGGATATGGCTCAATTGGTAGAGTACTTGCCTCCCATGCACAAGACCCTGGGTTCAATCCCCAGCACCACACACACACAAAAAGGCAAAAAATCATGTTTTTCTTACATATGATGATAGGGTAAGAAATGGACACAATCAAAATCATGAATGTCCAGAACCTGAATTGGTCATGATCCTGTGTTTCCTCCAGCATAGACTAGAACCAGCATTTAGAAGAGTCCATGGTGCATAGTAGGTACTTAATAAACACAGCATGAAAAAATGAAGAGAACACACTGTCCTCTGCATTCTTTCCAATTCTCCTCGTTCAGGGGCGTAACTGGGTTTCCCCATCTTGCTTACCCGCTGGGCTGCGGCTGGCGTCTCCAGCTCCCCCACCTTGACCATGGTCCCAGCTCTCTGGATCCCGGGTAGATGAGCTCATGCGGGCCTCGGAGGCCCTGCGCACAGGAGGCCCATAGCTTCCTCTCCCTGGAGCAGATGCTGGGTCAGGTCCTGGAAGGAAAAGCATTGAATAGATAAAGGGCAAAGAGGAACGGGGTAAAAGGACTCCTGTCCAAAATTGCAAGGCAGGCGGCAGAACCCACCTGTTTTGGGACCCGGGCCCCTCCTGTCTTCAGTGTCAGCTGGAGGGAGAGAAACAATAGGGAGCGTGATTTTCTGGTGTCTGGAGAGTGATAACTGAAGAAGCCCTCAAAGGGGTTCGTTCACCTCTCCCAGGACATGGAAAAACTCTAAAACGTCTCCTTCTGGTTTCCCCTCTGATCTAGTTCCTCTTTACCATGTGATATTGTTTCCTTGGCACATGCGAACACACACAAACACACAGAGAGGCTTAAAAAAGAACAGCCCGCCTGCACAATCTGGCAGCCCAGAGGGAGCAGGGCTTGCTCTGCCAACAGGGTGACCCAGTGGTGGAGACTGGGCTGCAGCCTCTGCTGAACTCGGCAATTCCTGTAGGCAGTGGAAGTCGCTCGTGCCTTGCCAGGAAGAAAGCATTTGCCGAACGTCTTTTGGGTGCCGAGCACTGAGCAGGTACCTTAGGAGGCCGTCCCGTGGGAGACACGGGTGGATGCTGTAATTTTTGAGACCTTCAATTAGGACGGTCCTTCCAGAAACTCGGCTGCGCTCCTCCCCGGAGCGGCCATTAGGGCCAGATTTTATCACTTGGTGTTAATTGAAATTATTGCGAGGGCCTTGTTGGGGCAGCCTGAGTGGCCTAATCCAATTAAGATAAGTGTGTTTTTATTGAGGCTGCCTTTTTCTGGATTCTTTTAGTCTTCACTTTAATATTTAATAATAATAATACTCGGATCAGCGCGATACCATCAATAGTAGTGATAATTTTCTTTTACTAATTTCCTTTCTATTCATCTTTCACTTTTAATTTGTCCAATTTCACATTTGCTTAGGGCTGAGAGAAGGAATGGGAAGGGCCAGAAAGGCCTTCCCAGCAACACCCCCACCCCCATCCCCATCTCCACCCCCACCCCCACCCCAGGGCTCCAGTGTGTCTCTCTCAATTCCTAATTTTAACTTCCCCTTCTTTGATACCTCTACACATCCCACCAGGAACAGGAACGATAGCAAAGATTTTTGGCAGCCTGGCTTCTCTGGAGAATTCCCTGAGCTGCCACTAACCCAGTGGAAACCAGCCCACCGCAGGGACAGCTCCAGGTAGACCAGTTGGCCGGGAGCTGTCGGTGGTGCTGAAAGAGCCCCTTGTCCTACCTTGGGCTGGCACGCGGGCCGTGTGCTTGGGCTCAGGGGGCTGCTCTGGGGCAGCAGGCTCACTCGTGGGCGGCTGGGGCTTGTTCTTCTTTATGGGCATGGGCTGTGGGAGGAGCTGCTTGGGGAAACCCTTGAAGAACCAGGCTCCAGAGCGCTTCCACACCTGGGGAGGGAGGAGGAGCTGTGGCCACCACTCTCGCCTTCATGAACCAATTTCAAGATTTTTTTGCTCTTAGTCCACGGCACGTGGACACAATGGCAGTCACATTTATTGACTCCACATGCCAGCCCTGAAAACTCAATCTGAAGGGTCTGATGAGACCCATTTCACAGATGGGGAAATGTAAGGTCAGAAATGTTATGGGTGTCCTGACAGTGCAGAGCCTGGGAGTGGAAAGGCGAGGGCTTGGCGTCAAGCCGTCCATCTCTTGGATGGGGCATGTTCTCTACTGCACTCCTGGGAGAGAGGGTGATCTGCCCATAGCTGTCCCAAGACCTCTGGCCTTTGTGCTGCCCTGTGGGTTAGGGCCAGGCAGGACAGTGTGCTGAACATCTCATGTCGATCCTTTTCCACCCAACTTTGTGCCCCAGAGGGCTGCCCAGTGCGGACAGGAGTAAGTGGGCTTCGGTGACCTCTGTCTTCAGCAGGAGTTGGCAGGACATTTAGGCCATGCTATGTGTTTCTTTGGTTCCCTCCCTGCTGGCTGGGCAGTGGTTGGTTCCTGTCTTCCAGTCGGCCAACTGCTCCCTCCCTAGCCGGTCGGTCCCAGGAGTGGTCACAGCAGGCCTGTGTTGCACAGGACACTTCCCTGCCACCGACTCCCCTCCACCCTGCCCTGCTCCGTGGAAAGGGCATCTTTATGGAACTCTCCTCGATTGCCCTGCTGGAGAGTGCCCACTGCATCCTGCCAGGCCCCTGGCTGCTACTGATGGGGACATGGTCATTGGGACAGTCTCAGAGGCAAGGCTCTGTAGCAGGGGGTGAGCGGAGAAGAAACTGTGGGGAGGAGAAAGCATTGCATTGAGATAAAATGAATAATAAAAAGCAGGTCTTGGAGGAAGAGAGAGAGAGAGAGAGAGAGAGAGAGAGAGAGAGAGAGAGAGAGAGAACGCAAGAGCGCAAAGGGAGAGACGGCAGAGGGAAGAAACCATGGACACAGGACCAGGAGGAGAAATGCCTCAAATGAAGGGGAGACTTGGAGGAAAGAAAAATGGAGAAGAGACTTAGGAAAGAAGGAAAGAGAAACAGCAGATGTTGGAAGAGGAAAACCCAGAATGCGAGAGACAGATGAGGGCAGAATGGCAACCAGAAGGCTGAGGATGGAGAGGGAGGTGGGGAGGGAAGGCAAAGTCTCAGGCACAGGTGAGGAGACAAGAAGTTCATCCAACCACCCAGAGGCCGTCCTGCCAGTTCACAGCTGGCCGAGCTGATCCCCTTCAAAGTTAAGGCCCAAGACCCACCCAGAACGCCCAGCCTCCAGCCCTCTAGTCTCCCTGATCCCAGGGAGGAGAAGGGGGCCGGCAAAGGGGAGGGGCCACTCACCTCTCTCTGCTCCATGCAGATCTTACAGAGCCACACGGGGTGCGGGCGGTTGTTGGAGGTCTCCACCCCACACTTGGTGCAGACGTTCTGGGGACAAAAGAACCCAACCAGCACTCAGGGGAGCCATGCCCTGAGCTGCTGGGGATGGAGAAGGGTCTGGGAGGGGCGGAGATCTAGAACTCTCCTTCCTTCGCACCCTTTCTTCCATGGTCAAGGTCCATTAGAATCAAGTTCCAATTTGAGTCTTATTTCCAATAATGAGCACTGGAGTCATTCCCAAGCCCTGGAGGAAGGAATTCTCCAGGGGTCCATTAGGGACAGTTTTCAGTAACTATGCAGCATTGACATGATTTTTAAGAGGAAAGACCATACACCCATTTTCTTCTTTCTTCCCTCAAAGGATCCAGGGCAACCTTGGCAATGACCAGTTCAACTCTCCATGGAGAAGGAGGCTACCTGACTACAGGCCATGTCTGTGGGTTGAATTTCTTGACAGCCAAACAGCAAGGAAAACCTGATAAGTCACACGATTCTTCTTATCTGGTTGGCTGAATCAGATAAGTTTTTCAGAAGAGATAAGCTTTCCCCAATATTCCACGTTAATTGCTAAATGGGATACCACGCAGAAGTGACCGAGGGGCATCACGAATGTCCTCCCTCTGGAGACATTAATTGGAATCGCCTTGATCACAATCAAATAGATCTAAAGACAGGGCTATCTCTGGCCTGGCATTGTCAAGTGCAGACAGTTTGGGGCAAAGGGCGGAGGGGGAAGAGAGCTCAGAGAGATTTTCCTTTGAGGTCAAATGGTCTCAGAGACCAAGAGCTCTAACTGGCCTGCACAGGGGATTTCTGAGTCTCCTTTACCCATAACCCCGGGTGAGAGGATGCTGGCCCTCCACGCATGAGTGTGTGCACGTGTGCCCAGCACACTCTTTAGCTGACAAGTAACTCACTAAGACACAGCCAAGTCCATCCTGTGTGGAGCTGAGCTCTAAGGGGACATCAGGGAAGGAAGTGGGATCAGGATGACCTTGGGAGACACTTGGGCATGGGAGCATCGCAGGAGAATTCCTATTTTGCAGGATTCAAGCTCCATCCCCGAGACTCAAGGCCCCCAGAGCCAGCACTGAGCAAGAAAGGAGGGGAGTGGGCGAGGTACCTTCTTACAGTCCTCACACACGACACAGGCCGAGCCCAGCATCCCCAGCTGCTCTCCGCATAGTATGCAGCGGTTCACCCCATCCCCAGCTACGCTCTTCCTCATGTTCTCCAGTCGGTCCACCAGGCGTCTGGAAGCAGAGACAAGGCACTAAGGACCCCACAGGACCAGGGCCCACAAGATTACCCTTCAGTGCCATCTGCCCTCGAGCATCTGACCATGGCTGTGGACCCTTCTCCAGGGAAGCGCACATGTGTGCAAACTTCTAATACCTTCTCAGAACCACCGAAGACTGGCTCAAAGCATCACGCCCCCAATAGCTATTCTATTGACTTACCATGAAGAACCTGCGGTGGCCCTTTCCATCTCAAGTTGCCTTCTCCTGAGGAACTGCCTTCCGAGCTCCAGCCCTGTGACCTAACTATCCACGCGACGTCACCTGGATCTGACACTCATGCCTTGAAACCAAACTTGACATCGTGGAGGCTCTCCATCTCTGTCCCCATCCCTAGCAAGCCTGATCCCCATGCTCAGGAGATGATGTGGCCACAAGTTAACTAGCTCAAACCAGAAGGCTTGGGGTCTTCCTGGACCCCCGGCTCCCCCGACATTCAACGATCCAGTCCAATCACCAATTGCTATGTGTCCGCCTCTCTGACTCTTCTGGAATCTGTCCATTCCTCTCCGTCTTCACCTCAACCCAGCCACTGCCGTCTCTCTTCTGGATAACTGAGTAGCCTCCTCACAGGCTTCCTGTTGCCACCCATGTTCTTCTACAACCTGCTCTTCCCCCCACTGCCATGTTGACATTCCTCAAACAAGCTGGATCCAGTCACCCCCAGCCCCTGTGCCTTGCAGCTCCCGTGGCCCTACGTGGGAAACCTTGAACTTCTTCTTCTCCTGGTCTTGCCTGACTGTCCCCATGCATCGGGTCTCCAAGCATTGTCACAGACCAGTAGCATGAGAGTCACCCAGGAACTTGTGTGATGTGTGCCTTCTTGGGTCCCAGCCCAGCTGAAGCCGAAATTCTAGAGGTGGCCCCAGCAATCTAGGTTTGCAAGCCCTCCGGGTGGCTTGGATGCAACTTCAGGGGTGAGAGCAGCGTCTCTGGTTACACCAGCCTTCCTTCAGTTCCTGTTGTCCCCTGTGCTTTCACTCGCTCTGTCACCCTTGCCTGGAATGCACCCCCATGCACGTGCCTGTGACCTCTTTTTCTGTAACACACACCCCCTTGTGTTCTCTCTGCCTGGGTCCCCTCCTCCTTCAGGATCCATTACTCCCCTGAAGCCTCTTACCACCTACTGTCCTTGCAGGAAGAGTGACAAGTACTTCCCCGGGGCACCTGTCACATTTATAAGCAGCTACGAGATCATCTGCATTAAGCTCTTAGCTGATGGTGAAACCAACTCTGCTCACCCCCGGCCCGGGAGATCCTCTGGGCAGGGACCTGGTCTGCTCTGATCCCTGCTGTGCGCTCGAAGCCACTTCAGCACATCTGGGCACTTGTCTCAATGACTGGGTAGGTCACAGCAGCTGTCTCGTCATGCTTGTATCCCAGTAAAAGCGAGCGGAACTCCATGTCCAGTGGGGCATAATAACAGCTTACCCTAACTCAGCAGCACGTGCCCGGCACAGTATGAAGTGCTTTGCCCCCCTCCCCAGGAGTTCAGCACCAGTGTTATGCCAGTTTTCACATGAGGAAAGGGAGGCACAGGGATTTTAAGTGACTTGCCCAAGGCCACACAGTTGGGAACCGGCAGAGTCAAAACCAGAACCCGAGTCTTGGGTAGGTGACATTAGTTCTTGCTAAATGTAACGTGCACACTGGTGACAAGGGACCTTAGCGAATTGCAGATTCTGAACCACCGGGCTTCTGAGGTGCTGCTTTTCTAGAAAGCTCCAAAGTGCTGCTGCTGCTGGTCCCAGGGTCCCTGAGTAACAAGGCGACGTGGCTGTGTGAGATGACCTGGGCCTGGCCATCCTGTTTTGGCTTCAGGTTTGGGGGGTTTTAAGCGTCACCAAGCTGGAGCCCTCTCCTTGACCTGAGCACTTACTGTCTCAGTGCAGTCACAGGAGCTACTCTGTCCCGGAGGAGCCCTGGCTGCAGGTCCCAGAGCCTCCCCAGGGACCTAGGTCGGAAGAACTGGGCTGGAGGCAGGAGGCACAGAGCTGAAGGCAGCAGCCCTCCCCAGCTCCTCCTCACCTCCCCGTCCTCGCTGGCTCCTCCCTGGCTGATGGGGAGTAAGTGAGACCAGGAGCAGCCCGAAGCCCATGGTCTCAGACCCCTGGACTAACTGGAGCACTAACTAGGACCAGGTTCAGAGAAAGGACTCCATGCTGATTTTCTTAACAAATCCTTCCAGCCACGTTAGGAGTCGAGGACTACGGACTCTTCTGGGACTTTAAGATTCTTAGCCTTACCATGGCGCAAAACAGCATGCCTTAGTAGGAGCTGCGCTTTGAAGTCTGAAGTCTGATCTGCTGCCAGCCCCACTGTCCCGAGGGGAAACGGCCCGTATCCACGGCATGGCTGTGTGGCTAAGCTGTGCCGAGCCGCAGGCCAGGTGTATTCGACGCATTCTCGACCTATAATCATTTCGACGGGGAGCACCCTGCTTTATTAAATGAGAAAACTGCAGCACAGAGGGGTTAAGCAATTTGCCCAAGTCACACAGCTAAGAAGTGGTAAAAGCCAAGATTCAGATCTAAGCGGTCTGACTCCCGAGTTCCCATCCGAACTACTTCTCCACACAGCTGCAGGCCAGGAATAGCCCTGGAGGTCCCCTCGAGCTGTCCCTTCTCTGCCCTGGTTGATAACTCTGCCTTTCCCATCCTAAGGGACCCTCAGTCATTGGCAAGTACCCAGTTGCATGTGCTCTGGGTTGTCATCCCAGCTGCTTCTGTCCCCTGCAGTTGGGACAAGAAACCCAACTGCTGCCTGTCCCTCCTTCTGCTTCCCTAAATAACTCTCTAGAAACCTGGATTTTCGTCCTGGGTTTCGCCTGCTAGGGTTTCAGCTTCCCCTGGGAAACAGGAGGCATCAGGCTACATCAGCGCTTCTCCAACGGTGCTTCTTGGCCCCCCAGGGGACCCATAGAGCCAGTTCAGGGCTGTTCCCAGTGATGGCCTGGTGGGAGATCGTGAGTGGCCACCATGATCCATGTCTCCCGAGCATGTCTGCATTGATCTGTCCTGCCTGTCTGCGCTCCTCAATTGGGTCTCCTTTGCAAAGCTGGTTCCAGGGTTTAAAAACAATTTGAAGAAGCCGGGAGTAGATAAATTTCAGGAAGCCTTTCAATGCCTCTGATTTACAAAATATTATGAGACCATGAATTAGGTTTGAAGGACAGGGATAAGTGCCCTGGTGACATTTACTTGTCCACCGTCTTGTCTCAATCACTCATCTCCGCCCACTTCCCTAGCAAGAAAATAGTTAGATCTTGCTCTTCTACCCTTGTTGGTGCCAAAGCACAGAGACAGGGCGAGGCTTGCCGGGATCACACAGCCAGGCTGGGAGCTGGTTCTCCACTTCAGGAGACCATGGTCACGTTCCACAAAGCCCCCAGTGGCTCCCTGCCTCGTGGCCAGCTTTGCTGGGGCCTCGTGGGAAGATAACATGTAATAGAGGATCCCGTTCTAAACTGCAGAGCGCTTGCTTAGGGCAACCAAAGGGTCTCCTTACTCTTCCTGAACAACAAAGGCTATTGATTTACACGCCATTTGCAAACCGACATGAAACCCTGCCCCTTCCTGCCCAATCCTACAGGTCCCATTAGCACTCTGGGTCTGATCAGAGACTGCAGATGGCATCCGAAGCCCCCAGGTCTGAGACCATTATTCCGTTGTCCCAGCTCATGGCCTTGTTATTTATGGATTCAGGACCAATAAAGAGGATGGGCGGGAGGCACAGATGGCCAAAGATGGGGAGTGAGCGGGGAGCTTCCTGAAGCCTGCTTGTTGGGACCCCCTCTCTGCACCCTCAAATGCTAGGGACACAGAGGCTAAGCCAAAGATTTTAAACTCAAAAAATAAAACTGCAGGAAACTAAATCAAAGTGTGCCATAGAAGGACCATGAGGCTGCCAAGGGGTTCATATCCTGGAGATAGAGCAGTTTTGTCTGTCATCCCAGAAGAAGTATTTATTTTTATGTGTCCTGATGGGAGAGAGATGTATAAGAGATGCTGTTGACTCTCACTGGGTGTCAGTCACCAGCATCAGACAAACACCAGTGCCCGGGGCTCTGGCTCGACCTTCTCGGAGAAGGATCTGGCTGGGCCCAGAAGCCAGTATATAAGCCTACACACAGTCCTGTTGGGACTCAAAAAATGTCGGGCACAGCTAGACCCATATGGGGACAGGGCTCCACACACAGAGGACGAGTCCTTGGGATTGGATTAGGCCTGAGAATCTGCACTGATCTCATTCTGCAGCCAGGGAATCACTGGCCTCACTTTGAGAAATGCTGTGCCGGGGATGGACGGGGGAGGCAGAGCACGGGGGTGAGCGGGGGACGCTGTCCTGATCATGCTACGTGGGAAAACTGAAAAAACCCAGGAGCAGAATCGTAATCAGGGCGCAAGAGGAGGTCGCAGCACGCTCACCAGAAAGTCTCTACTGTGTGCACTCAACAAAAACGAAAACAAGGAAAGAGACGCATAAAATATTCATAGTGATCATCGTCAGGTGCTGGGATTATGTGTTTATTTCTTCTTCGATGCCTTTATCTCCTCTGCCCTTCACATTAAGAGCATCCAATGAGCTGGACTCGTCAACTTTCTTAACTCTCTTATAATCAAATGCATTACCTTGCATTAGAGAGGAAAGCACATTTGTGAAGGAAAATGTCTGCAGAACAAGTGTTATAAGATGTGGGTCTGATCCTTCGTCTCAGCCAGGGACCTTGGAAGAACTTGGTTCCCTGGGTCCCCTTTTCCCAGATTGAGCCAAGAAGCTTAGGTGAGATGCACCTAGGCTTCCTCCAGAGATGTAAGTCAGGGCTTTCCAGATCCTGGGGCTGAAACATCAAAATTTTCTCTTCTTTTTTGAAACGGAAGGACCCCCAATCATAAGGAGACCAGTCCCTGCAGACAGACTGGTTTTATTTGCCTGGGCAAATGTTAAGTGCCAAT